TCTTTTTCTAGACAACCACCACGTTTAACAACTATTGAGGGTACTGGACTTCTCTGATGAACCCTGCTTCTAAAAGTCAATTGACTTCCTCAGCAATGATTTTATTTCTTTCGGGGGCAAACCTTTTCTGCTTTCATTTCACCGGATGGTGGCTAGGGTCCATGTTTAGGCTATGACAGGCCGTCCGTGGGTCAATTCCCAGCATGTCCCAGTGATTCTAAGTGAAGATGTAGGCATTCTGCCTCAGGATTTCTGTCAGCTCCTCATTTTCCTAAACTGACTAGAGAGTCCCTATGTAGGTCAGCTTGAGCTTATCCCCTGTGATTATCTGCACAACTTCTAGGGGTTCTTCGGTAGGATGTTCATCTTCCGGTTCCTCCTTCTCTTCGGGGGGGGGGGGGGGGGGGGAAGAGCTCGGTAATTGCTATTTCAGCAATTTCTTGTCCTTATCAGAGGGATAAATCGTCGTGTGGTAGCACTCCTTTGCTGTTACTTGGTCCCCCCAGATATCGATGACCTCCTGACCGTTCAGGCTCACGCATCTCATGACTTGGTGCAGGGTTGATGGGACTCCTTCTATATAGTGGATCCATCCTCGACCCATTAGCAAATTGTAGTCATAAAGTTCTCTTTTAGAGATCTTTTAGCAGTAGTGACTAATAGTGTGATTACACCTATGGGCTCCACTCTTCTTCCATCAAATCCTACCAAATGGCTTCAAGTGAGGCGAATATGATCTGTAGCCAATTTTAACTGATCGAATGTCCACTTTGTCTTGATATTGGCACTACTGCTAGGGTCAATCAATACTCATCTGACCAGGCAATTGGCCACTAGTAGGCTAACTACTAATGGGTCTTCGTACAGGTGTTATACCCTTCTGAGATCTCCTTTATGAAAAGAAACTTGTGCTGGATTGGGTTTGCAATCAACAGCATTGATTTCACCAATCCTCCGCGCTTATGGGTTTGTTTGAGCTGGATCATGTAGGAATTTCCCGATTGCTCATCCTCTTCCGGACGGCCATGAATTGTGTTAATTACTCGGACAGGATGGTTTTCTACAGCGGCCTTTAGAATTGCCCGGGTTCGATCTTGCTGCCTTTGTTGTCCCAAGGTAATCAGGTAATCAGTCAATTCGCCCTTGGCTATTAATGCCTCCACTTATCTTCTCAAGTTCCTGCAATCATTGGTTAGGTGGCCAAAATCACTATGGAATGTACGGTGCTTACTTTGGTCCCTTTGCTCCATTGGCTGTTTGATTAGTGGTGGGATCTAGAAAATGTTTCTTGCCTTGGTCTCTTGGTACAGTTTGGCCAGCGTTACTTTTAGAGGTGTGACTCTTTTAGCCATTCAAGACTTCTTCTCAGGGGCTCGTCCCTCAATGGCCGGGGGTTCTCGATGGACCCTCAAGGTGCTTGATTGTTCCTTCGGTCGATTCTCTACTGTAACCAGGGTCGTTCTATGCTGTCTAGTTACTTCCTTTTTTTCGAGTCTGATGTAGTTTTGTGCCCACGAATTCAACTCTAACATGTTAATTGGGGTTTTCTTCACCAGAGAAGAATGGAAACGTGAGCCTTGCACCATAGCTATCTTGAATGCTTCTATGCTGTGTCTTGATTACAATTTGGTATGCCCAAAGACTCCATGTTGAATCAGGTGAGGAAGGTCTACAGGCCTTCTCCCTTCATCTGTCGAATCATGAAGAGACTGGCAATGGTTTTTTTCTACTTCTTATTTCCATAATACTGGGCAAGAACGCAACGCATAGTGACTCAAAGTTTGGGATTGACTTGCACGGGCGATTCTTGAACCACTCTAGGGCCACTCCCATCAGACTGGACGAAAATATTTTGCACATGAATAGATTGTTGTGCGCCTTTAGTGTCATTTCCTGAGTATAGTGGTTCAGGTGTTGAAGGGGATCTCTAGTCCCATTGAATTTGATGAACTTTGGCATTGTGAATTTCTTAGGTCTTATGACCCGTTCTATCTCATCTGTGAAAGGGGTTTTCACTATTGATGCAGTGAATTCTCTTGCCATGTCTTCAGGCATTTGGGCTTTCAGCCCTTTGATTCGCTCGTCCATTTATTTCCAGAGCCTGGTGATAAAGTCATTCCCTGAAGACAGTTGATCAGCAACTGGGGTCCACACTTCTTTTCTACCCGAGTCCACGTCATCTGATGGATGGGCTTTGGTGGCTCGAGGTCCCCCAACATTGGAGTTCCCTAAGGTGCGGGATTGACTTACGGCATTATTGATGTCCTTCAGCGTTCCATTGAGCTGTTGGTGTGGAACCTTCTGTTGGTGAGGTGGATTATCAGTGCCCGGTTCCATAGGGGGATCTTCGTTCTGACGTTTGGGCCGAGGGTCAATCGGCTGATCGTTCCGCCGAGCGTTGCCTCAAAGTCTTTCGTTTTCCTTGCGCAGAGTGTTGATTTACGCCACGCTGGCTTTCTAAGCCTGCCTTAGCATATTGATTTGCTCAGCGCTGGCTTCATTTGCTTGTCGAAGGACATCAAGTTGCACTTGCATTTCTGCACGTATTTTCTGCATGGTCTCATGTTGCTGCGGTTAAATAGTGTCTGGCTCTGTTGCCATTCCGGAGTGATATCGCACGTAAGAGATAGAGAATGGACTTATTGTATCGGAGTTCCCACAGACGGCGCCAAAGTGTAGGTGCAATTTCTCACACCCGAGCACCCAAGGAGATAAATTATGGAGAACACACAGAACAATCAAGAAGAGAACAAATAAATCTTTGAGAGAATAGCAGTATTGGGAATCCGATGCCTTTTCATTCTCATTCAGGCTCTATTTATAAGTTTTTCCTCAGAGACTTACATGGAGCCGTTTCTTGGCTTTTATTCCCAAACGTGGGTAATTACATCTGCAGATCGTGTATTCACCATTATGGTAGACATTATAGAATTCGGGCCTTGTTAAGATTGGGCCACCTATTTAGCCTTTAAATTAAGTAAAACTTCCTTCACTCTAATTGGGCTAAACTGGTACATGCGCAAGGCTTCTTCTGTTGGGCCTCCAATTGATTGTGGGCTTCTGGTTATCTTAATTTGGTTGTGCGTTACTTTTCACCGCCACGCGGTGTGTTGTAATTGGTGGGGTTTTTTCCCTCCACAAAGACATTTATGGAACATGTTGAAAGAATGGGTTTTGAATGTAGTCAATGATGATTATTTTTTAATTGTGGATTGCTCAACAGTGCTTATATATATTTGACATTTTGCACTCATTAAATGTGTTTATGATATTTCTTATTAATTAATGTACATGTACGTATTACTTTGATAGGAATAGTCTTGGAAAAGACATTATTGTTAGATCATTATTGATACTTCTCATTTATAGACTATGTTGAATAGGTTACTAGTATTGTGGTACATAGAAGGGACTGTGTCATTTAGTGATACATAACCACCATGACTCGAATTGGTAATTTATTTACTGTGGTATTTATGATGACTAACTTAAAGACTCAATTTGATTTATGGTACACACTAATGGCTATTTTACTAAACCACTATGGAAGTTATCATATAGGCCAAGTGGGAGAATGTAAGATTATTTATTAATTGTGTGGTCTACATGATTTGGACATGTGATATATTTCATTAATTAGTTGTTAAGTAAATAGATATTAGATTAAAATTATATTATTTGGTCAATTTATAAATTATCTTTATGGTAATTAATTATTGGAGAAGTGTTTTCCTATTTATTCCTTACTTTGATGAAAAGAGGAATTAAGGTTACTAAAAGGAAAACTGGTCATTTCTCTGCCTTTATAAAAGTGCATATATTCCATCAATTATGTACACTAATGAAACAACACGAATAAAGTTTTATGTATGCAAAAGGCTAAGAGAGAGAAATCAGTTTCTACACATGTTTGGCTATTGTTTGTACTTGGAATTTATCACGTTATTCGTTCCGCAGAAAGAATCTCGATCTTTGGTTTGATCTCAATAAGATTTGCAATTACAAAAGGTATTTATATTTAACTACTTTATTTATGCATTATAGATATGTGAAAATAATGAAGTTCTAAGATTTTGGAATTCATGATTATTTTTTATTAGTGCTTAACACGAATTAATTATAGTTTACAAGAAGTTAGATTAGTAGATGCAGAAAGTCGAAACCTCGCACTCTAAAGTCCACCACAGGCACTAATGCACTAGTCTATCGAGTCATCTACTAGCTAGTAATTGATATGCTAAGTAATTTATATAATAATTAGTTATCAATATATATTTATATAAATTTTTGTTAATATATATATTATTTTTGTTAATATACATATTATTTTTGTTACAAATTAATTAATATACTTTAATAAGCGTGCTTAGTATTTAATAAATGAACTTATTTAAAATATTAATTAAATTAATGCTTAGGCTTAAATTTACATTTTAGTACATATATTTTTTAATATGTTGGTTTAAGTATGTTGGTGATGGTAGTTGAATAAGTTAACTTTTTTTTTTTTTTTAATTAATAAATAATTATTCCTTTTTTAATTGATTTGTTAAATAAATTTTATGTTTCAGTTCTATCAAGTAATTCACGGTGTTTGTCTATTTGATGTAACTTTGAATATATTTTGTAATAAAATAAATATTTCATTTATTATTTAAATAAGGACAAAAATGGTATAATATTATCTTTATTCCAAATCTCATTTCAAATCTAACTTTAAATCCAATTTGTTCCAAATATATAAATAGAATTTTATTTTAATTCCAAATCCCATTTCAAATTCAACTTCAAATCCAATTTGTTCCAAACATATAAATGAACTTTCATTCCAATTCCATTTCCTATTTCAATTCCTATTCCTTTTCCAAATCCCAAAATAATTGGTTCCAAAAGAGATAATGGTAATTATTGCAAAATTTAAATAACATTAAAAAAAAAAAAAAAAAAAAACGCAATGAAATCAAGTCTAATATCTCTTGTCATGTTTGTTATTGTATATGAACTCGTCCCGCCAAACCTTATCATCTTATCCTCTCGTCAACAGTCTTGAGTGAGCAAAAGCGGCAATGTCCATCTCTTCCTCACTCCTCTCTTCTCTCTCTAAACCTACCCACTTTGCCTTCGAATACCTCGGAAACTCCGCCACATGCCCTAGAAAATGGCGGATCAGAGCTTCATCTGCTGCCCCTGGCGTCGACTTGACCACCCTTGATTCCGCCATTGCAAAGGTTTGTTAAATTTTCTAAGATTTTTCTTAATCTTTAACAAATTAATCAAAACCGCTTCGTTTTCCATATGTTTGAATTAAAATGGTTGAACTGTGAGATTTGCATTTGAACTATTTATATGTTGAAAGAGGAATTATGGTAGCAAGCTATGAGATTTTGCTGGGCTTGATTATTATAGATGGTAGGGTAGTTCCATACATTGTAATCTCATTGTTATTATCAGTTGTATATAGGATTAAAAGTAGATGAGAACCTAAAATACAGGGAAAAGTATGAAGTTGCAGTGTACTAGGTTTAGAGGAGGAAGCTCAATTCTCCAACAAAAACCGAAAAGAAATAACAATTCATTCAAATTCAATATCATAACTTTTTATACCTCTTGAAAGAAATCTGCAAGAAGAACCACTTTATCTCTATTTATCGAGTGTGTGAGAGTGTGTGTGTGTCTTGAACTTATCATGATTACATTAGACATGTTAAAAAAAACTGTGTCTTACTCCTCTTTGGAACCCTCAAGTAAAACAAGCTCCGTTTATGGAAGCATAAGGAGGTTCTTCTTGCTTTCTTATAAGCATGGTTTTAAAATTCACTGGCTTGTCACAAAAATAATGTATTTAAAGGACTTAGCTGTTTATTGAATGGCTTCGGCATTGTATTGGATAAATTTCTTTAGTTTAAGCAGATTTGGAGTTGTAAGCCTACCTCTACTTGCTGGTATGAGACTGTTATTGGTAATTTACAAAGGTTTATGATTATGACAATTGACACAATTATTATATCTCCATTTTGTAAGCGTTTCCCATTCAAGTTTTATCAGTTCGGATAACTTATTAGATTTCTATCAAAAGAGAAAACGTTTATTTATTTTTCATATCATTTTCTTCAAATACTTGCTTGCTCCGAACCTGAGGAATGGTTCATATTCTTCTTGTTTATGCAAAACCCAGACCCACTTAAGTGATGTTCTTTTGTATTCATAACGTTAGCAATAGGCTTTACGATGAATCTCTAAATTGATATTATTTATAGTTATAATGGTTCATATTCTTGTTAATTATGCAAAACCCTGACACACTTGAGTGCTGTTCGTTTGTACTTATAAGCCGTTAGCAATAGGCTTTCCAATGAATCTCTAAAATGCTTACAAGCCCTTGGGGAAGTATATATTATTAATAGCTATAGGTCATGCAATTTTTGCTAAAGTTGCTTTATGATTTGCTGCAGAAAGATAGTGATGCTGTTAAAGAGGCACTTGATCAGTTGAGTGAAGTTGGTTGGGCCAAAAAATGGAGTTCTCAACCATATGTCTCATGTCGTATGGTTAGTCTCCATAACAAGTGTGAAGTTCTGGGAAAGTGCCACTCAAACATTAGCCTCATCTTCAATCCTATGCATACATGTATATGAATGTCTGTCCATCTATTTGTTTATCAGTTTACTTGGTGGGAAAATACAAAGATAACTGTTTCAATTTGATGCACCAGACATCTCTTAGGGAGCTGACAACTCTTGGAATTAAGAATGCAGAGAACCTTGCAATACCGAGTGTTAGAAATGATGTAAGTCTCAATGCATTGATATTCTATTTTGACTGTCACAATGGAAAAGCATTTAAATCATGTACTAGTCCTCAGTCTGTAGTTCTATGTGTTCCCCTTACATTTCGATTATTCCTGATGAAGTTAGAAATTAAGGGTAAAGATGTGTTTAATTGAGTGCAAGTGGAGAAGGAACCTGCATAGGATGACTTCATGATTACTCTGGCATCATCAGATCCAATGCACATTTGTCTTTAGGTGTCAGTATTGTGTTTAACATGCATTATTTGTCCTATAATCTTTGAAAATTTCCTGATACAGTGGAGGGTTCTTCCAAGAATTGAAATTCTAATATTGGGACATGATTGGAATTTGATGAAAGCTATGCATTTTATGTGATTCTCTTTTATAGGTATTATCATATTTCTTCATGAATTTGATTTCATTCAGTGATACAGGCGGCTTTTCTCTTTACAGTAGTAGGAACAACAGGCTTTTTGGGTGTTCTTGCTGGCCAGCTTCCCGGGGTAACTTCACATAATTTCCTCTAACTTTTTACGTATTGAAGTGTCTTCCTGGATATGCTTTGGGCACCTGATTCAAGTACAAAATTTACGAGTTTCATTTCATTTTGTTTTGTTTTGTTTTTTTTTTTTCCTTTGACATTGTCATACCCCAAATTTTAACACACAGACTCTTTGTCTTGTATGTAAAATCTGATGTATAACTTTCACCAATTCTCCACATACATCCATCATAAAATATAACTATAATGAATCCCATCATCCAATTTATTAACATGAGTGTCTGACAAACATAAATCCAATCCATAAATAGAGGTGAAAGTCCCTCTAACACAACAAAACATCTATTACCACTGAAACAACTCGATAAAGTTTCATAAAACATTAACTTTATTACAATAATCATAATAAAGGAAAACTGAGCTAAAATCCGACTTTGTCATGCGTCTCCATCACGTTCCTACTCTACGAGCACCTGAAATGTGATAATGGGGTGAGCTCACAAGCTCAGCAAGAAATGCTAAACACAATCATTGTTCAGTAAGCTGACCTTACTTTGTATTCCCATATATATAAGCGACTCAATAAATGCATTAATTAATTATGCATAACCCAGTTAATTATAAACTCAATAAATAGCCATTATTTATTTTTAATAAATCCGCATATTTCACATGAGCCCCGGGCTCACATCCAATAAAGTGGTGTGAATCGTATAGTCTCTAACTACCGAAAACACAAGTGTGGCTGGACTGTACGTCTACTTCCCAAATGATCCCTGATCACGTTCACACAATAAGAGCTCATTAGACCCATGGCCATAATAATAAGGTAGTGCACTCCCAATTAGGCAGGTCCCTAACCATACCCAAAAGTCATCATAGGGTCAGTCCCTGACTACCCCTCCGACTAATCTGAACTCATCCATTAATTGCTAATTATAGTGAATTATGAAATACATTATTAATTAATAATTAATACACACAAATACAATTTTAATTTAAAAACAGAACTCTAAAGACCCAACTAGTGAGAGTACAAAATTTCTAGATAAAGCCTAACATTAAATATAAGACCCTGCAAAATTTCAGAATCTAACTCCTAATAGTTTTTCCGTACTCTCCCTTTTAGTGCTGAAAAATAATACTTTTTCAGGTCTTAATTTCGTAAAACCATCAAACAGTCATTTTACAATCTGTATTTCAGCACAACTAAGTTCAGTGCACTTAGAACTAATATTCTGGAAATTTCCTAAGTTATTGGGATAGCAATACTATTTTTCCTAATTTTCTTTAGTTTAAAATCAATTAAAACAGTAATAATTAAATAAAAAGAAAATTATTTTATATAGCATACAGAACCAATCCGTTTCAAATGTCCAGTTTAAATCCACGTCATTCACTAACAAATTAACATGCAATCTGACCCATCTATGTCCAGTCAAATCGTTGTTTAGTAAACATATGTATTACATATACCATTGTGTACCCAGTAACCAACACCTCCACATGGTTAACACGAATCAATGAATACATGTTTTAAAATAACATGTATAAATATAACAAAAATTCTATAATTATATATATATATATATATATATATATATATATATATATATATATATATGTCATCTATTAGGAAATAAAATAACTAAATTAAGGAATACATGTTTTAAATTTGATGTTTTCAAACAATACCCATGTGCCAATCTAAGATTAATCATCGTTAAAATGAACTCTAGTAAGTCAGCAGATGACACTAAAATAATATACATCAACCTTGACAAATCTAAACTAAATTTATTTTCGATAAATTCATATGATATAAAACCTTAAATAATATTCTTATCAAGTCACAAATATAATATAAATTTACAAAGTAAGATTAACTTGCCTGAGTACGCAACTCTTTCTTTCCTATGTAAAGATTGGATCACCGTCCCTTCTCCCGGCTACTGCAGAAGGTAAGAAGTATCCATAACTTCTATTTCTCTCTTTCTCCCTTGTTTTATTTCTTCCTTTTACGCAAAAGGGAAAAATAAAATAAAATAAAATAAAACTAATATAAAGATAAGAATATCGGTAGGTGAGCTAATTTAGGATCCCCTTTAAAATTTCAACTTTTTTTAAAAAATAACCTATTATCTCTAATATTCCTTAAAAAGTCAACTAGTCATTATCTACTAATTGATCTTTCATGTACCGTGAAAAAATGCTTACATAGATACATAAAATGTGTGTGTATTTTTGTATTATAACTTGAACATTGGGTCACCAACCTATTTCTGCTGCATTCTGTGCATTAATTTGATGCACTACCCCCTTCCCCATAGGTTAGGATTTTTCATCTTTTAGTTTCTGTCAAGTGGAATGTAGTTAACTTATTTGGATAAGAAATTCAGGCATGCCTTTTCACTACTCTGTTTTTCGGTTAGGGCGTGACTGGTGCAATTGTTAAAGGAAAAAAAAATTAAAGTAAAAATGAGGCACCTTGACATCTACTGACACTGTCTATTCTTTCTATCATTTAGGATTGGGGCTTCTTTGTGCCATACTTGATCGGTAGCATCTCGTTAATAGTTTTGGCTGTGGGAAGCATTTCACCAGGGTAAGTAATCAGGCATACTGAAATGGACGTACTTACACTAAACAGTCATACGTTATTAATTTTTCCTATTTTGAATTTATCACAATATTAAAGGCCGTAGCTGGTGTTGTTATCCATTAGTTGGGAGGGGGAAATTCGGTATAAAACTAACAGTTGCCTTGTTTGAACAAAGGGTGTTCCCTCAGAGGGGGATTTATTTAGCACTTATAAATTTTATTGTGATCCTTGTATTAAAGTTGATTCCTTCATTTATAATAGGCTTCTTCAGGCTGCCATAGGCGGATTTTCTTTATTTTTTCCCGATTACCAAGACAGGATTGCTAGACATGAAGCGGCTCATTTCTTAGGTAATTTCTCTTCATTGGACACATAGGACAATATCTGGAAATTATGATTGGGGGGGGGGGGGTTTACTGCAGTTCTCTATGTATATGGAAATTATGATGGACAATATATGTTTCTTTATTTGTTCAATAGTAAGTTAACAATATTATTATATAAAATCGTATCTATAGAGGTATAAAGAATGTTGAAGTGAGTATGATCACACATTTGCATATACATGCTCGTGCTACATACCTTGTCATCCAGTGAAAGAACTTTATGCTTTCCCAGTCTCAAGCCATTAAATGAATGTAAGGAATTACATCCCTGGCGCTTACTTGAGGCCCTATGACCTCCAAGTCCAGCTTCCATAAATATTCTTACATGAGAGCATGTGAAAAGTAACTTATTCAGAAAGGAATATCGAAGGGTGCCATTTTTGCAGAAATTGGTGGCTTCCTGGTTTAGTCCCATGTCTTTTTGCATTCTTTTTCTGATGCATGAGAGCATGTGAAAACTAACTTGCTCAGAAAGGAAAATCAAAAGGATGATATTTACACAAGCCAGTGGTGAGTAATGAATCTGACATCAAATTGTGGCTTCCTGGTTTAGTCCCATGTATTTTGGCAAACTTGGCAATGACACAGCAACACAAACACGCCTATGACCTTTCTGTTTGGGATCATCATTTTCCCCAAAAGTCCACAATTCAGTCTTCCTTGTGTGAGGTTTCCCTTCCAATTGTATTGCATGAGCACCATATGTACCAGTCTACCATGTGGTTTGATCGATCTCATCTCATGGTAGAGTAGCTTGCTAATTTGCAATTTGCTAGACTGGGTTTTCTCTCTCTTTTGTTTTGTTTTCTTTTTCTTTTTTAATTATTCTCCAATTGCATGCATACATGTAATTTGACGAAATCACCCTGTGAATTTCAGTTGCTTACTTGCTTGGCCTTCCTATACTGGGATACTCATTGGATATTGGAAAAGAGAATGTAAATCTCATTGATGAAAAGCTGGAAAAGATGATATATAAAGGACAACTTGATGCAAAGGACCTAGACAGGTATCGTCTGACAGTTGTAGCCACTAGAAACATTTGCTTTGTGCTACATGTTTTCTTTCTCCATGATAGTGCTAAAGACTACGGATCGAAACCCAAGAGATAGAGCGCCATATAAGGTCCACTGATCTGGACCTAGAGGAAGGAGAATAGGTTTTGTTGAACAAATTGACTTTTTTAATTGATTTTGAATTGGAACAGAATTAACAAAAATCTCAATCACAATTCTAAACAACAAGGAATTAGGAGAGAATTGTTTTAGTGAAATGGTATTGCATTGATACTGAGAATGATATACACGTACACTACTTATAGGCACCTAAAAAGGAACAGAATAGTTAGCGTGTACAACTGAATGTACAGTTGTTATCTATTAAGAGTTACAGCTGAATGTACAACTGTTATCTATTAAGAGTTACAACTGTTATCTATTAGGAGTTAGCATGTATTAGCTGTTATCTATTAGGAGTTAGCATGTATTAGCTGTTATCTATTAGGAGTTAGCGTGTATTAGTTGTCAAATTAATTGTATAGTTGACTTACCTTGAATAGGTCTGTGAATTCTGTATAAATACCCTTAAGATATATGAAAGAAAGATAACTTTTTCTGCCATTTGTCAATTTGGTATTAGAGCTGAAAAAAAAAAAAAAAAAAAAGAAAGGAAACTTTTTCTGCCATTTATCAATTTGGTATCAGAGCTGAAAAAAAAAAAAAAAAAAAAAAAAAAAAAAAAAAAAAAAAAAAAAGAAAGGAATTTCCGCTGCTTTCTTTTCTTTTCTTTTCAATTTTAACCTTACTTCTAAAGACCTGCAACAGCCGTCAGCAATCTTCTTTGTGCTGCTGCTACTTGTCTTCAATACCTCTTAGCCACGATCCGTGGCAGCCAAAACAACCACCGACTCTTCCCCTCTAACCGAAAATTCATCTGACAGCAAGAAGTTCTCCACGATGACTATTTACGAAACTTCTTCTCCCATTCCTATTAAATTGGATGGTGCTAATTATCGTGTTTGGTCTCAGATTTTGGAGATGCATATTGCTGGTAGACAGAAAAAGGGGTATATCACAAGGAGAAAGGTTGCACCTACAGAGGATGATCCAAGCTATGATGAATGGGAGGCTGAAGATGCCCTAGTCAAGTCTTGGCTTATCAATTCCATGACGGTAAATCTGATGTCCCAACTTGTGCAATGTGGAACAGCCAGGGAGGTTTGGGATGCGGTAAAAAGAAGCTATCTTGATGTCTCTGATTCTTCTCAAGTTTATGAACTGATGAAGAAGTCCTTTCAATTGCGTCAGGATGGTCGGCCTCTTGTAGAGTACTATAATGAACTGAACTCAATCTTCAAGTAACTTGATTATTGAAGACCAAATGCTATGACATGTGCAACTGATATCGAGAAACAGAGGAAGCGTATTTCTGAGGATCGGGTCTATATGTTTCTTGCAGGTTTGGATCACAGTTTGGATCAAGTTAGTAGTCGTGTTCTAGCTTCCTCTCCTTTACCAAGCCTGGAAGAAGCATATTCTCTAGTTCGTCGTGAAGCACAAAGACAGGTCACCATGGCAATAAAGGATCACTCAGAGGCCTTGGCTCTTGCAGTCCAAAGGAGTTCCCGACCAGCTCCTCCTTCTACCAACTCTACTTCTCATCTCTGCACTCACTGTAATAGTACGAGACATACGGTTGATGTTTGCTGGAAGAAACATGGTTATCCGGAGTGGTTCAAGCTTAAGCAAGCTGAGAAGAAGAACAAGAAATTTGCTCAGGTTGCTATCACCGACACTTCTCCATCTTCTGCTTCTCATGTACCTCGAGTGTCTTCTCAAGGAGATAATTCTAGTTTGGCCTTTATTTCTACTGCTTCTAACACTTGGGTTATTGATTCAGGGGCCACTGATCATATGACTAGTAACTCTTCCATACTTAACTCTCTAATACCTTCACCTGTTAAGTCTGTTCAGGTTGCTAACGGGACTCCTATGCCAACTATAGGGGCTGGGAATGTCTCACTTTCTCCTACCTTCTCCATGTCTTCAGTTTTACTTGCACCTAATCTCTCTATCAGCCTTCTTTCCATTAGCAAAATTACCAAAAAAGTTAATTGCTCTGTAACTTTTCATTCTACCCGTTGTGTGTTTTAGGACAATCTTACAAAGATGACGATTGGCATTGGTAAGGAGAGAGGAGGTCTTTACTACTCGGAGAAGGGGGTAAGGGAGTTAAAATCTGAACCTAGCCGTGGTTTTCAAGTAAATAGAGTCAGATAGAGAGAAAATATTTTTATGGCATTGTCGTTTGGGACATCCATCTTTCTCTTATTTAGAACGTTTATGTCCTAAGTTATTTTGCAATATTTATGCTTCTAGTTTAGGGTGTGAACAATGCATTTATGCTAAAAACCATTGTGTTCCTTTTAAAGTGAGTTTCAATAAAAATCCTATTCCTTTCTACCTTGCTTCGGGCCATAAATACTTTGTATCTTTTATTGATGACTGTACTAGAGTGAGTTGGGTTTATTTGCTAAAATCTAAGAGTGATGTTATACATGTTATTCCTCAGCTTTACAAAATGATTGTCACCCAATTTCATACTCAGGTTCAGGTTTTCCACTCTGACAATGGTGGTGAGTATGTGAATCAGTCTCTTACTGATTTCTTCAAACAACATGGCATCCTCCCCCAGACAACGTGCGCCTACACGCCACAACAAAATGGCATAGCAGAGCGTAAGAATCGTCATCTCTTAGAGGTGGCTCGTACCTTATGCTTTACTATGAATGTTCCTAAGCGTTTCTGGGCTGAGGCTGTCATGATTGTTGTTTTTCTTATCAAACTCCATTGAGAATGCTATCCCGATTTCACTCTATTCCTTCTACACTTCATCTTTGTCCTAAGGTTTTTGGTTGTGTGTTATGTTCATATACATTCTCTTTACAGGGATAAGCTTGACCCTTGTGCTCTTAAGTGTGTCTTCCTTGGTTACTCTAGTTCACAAAAGGGCTATAAATGTTTTCATCCTCCTACAAGTAAATACTATGTGTCCATGGATGTTCAGTTTTGTGAAAGCGAGTCTTATTTTTCTGTGGATGTATCTCTGATTCCTCTTCATGGGGAGATTAGTAGTAAGGAAGAGGAACGGTTATGGCTGGAAGAAAAGAGGTTGTGGATTTCAGGTAAGGAGGAGGATTCAGCTGTTATAAAAAAAGGAGAACCTTTAGATACTCTTGATCATGTGGAGACTGAGTTCGATGAAAAATAGGTGAAAGACCAACCCACTTGTTCAAAGAAGTATATGTGAGAAGGAACAAGGATGCCACTGTCATGCCGCCTCCTTCTAACTCTAGTACCCCTCTTGATGATACTACCATACCATCGGATGAATCTTCTAGGATTAACTTTGAGGTACATGTTTCTTCTCCTTTAACTTTAACTTCAGATATTTATTTTAACCCTGTAACTTCTGTGGAGACTGCTGCCTTGAATCCACAGGTTGGTGATCAGGGTAGGAGGTATCCTTTTCGTGATCGTAAAGAACCTAATAGGTTGGGTTTCTCCAAATTTTCTTCAAATGTTGTCTATCACATCTCTGATTTTGTTTCCTATCACTGTCTGTCTAAGACTCACCTATCTTTTGCCCTTCAGTTGTCTTCTGTGTCTGTTCCTAGTCATTTTCAGGATGCCCTTGGAGATCCTAAGTGGAAGGCTGCTATGGTAGAGGAAATGAAGGCTCTCTAGAAGAACTCTACTTGGGAGTTGGTCGAGTCACCTCAGGAAAAGAAGACAGTGGGATGTAAGTGGGTGTTTACAGTGAATATAAGTCAGATGGGACAGTTGAGAGGTTCAAGGCTAGACTAGTTGCCAAGGGATACACTCAGACTTATGGGATTGATTATCAAGAGACCTTCGCTCTTGTGGCCAAGATGAACACTGTTCGAGTTATACTCTCTCTCGCAGTTAATTTGGACTGGCCATTACAACAGTTTGATGTGAAGAATGCCTTCCTTCATGGTAATTTGATAAAGGAGGTGTATATGGATCCTCCCCGGGGTTTACACCTAAAGGAGGTAATGTATGCAAGCTAAAGAAGGCTTTTATATGGGTTGAAACAATCACCAAGAGCATGGTTTGGCAAGTTGAGCTACTCAATGAAGAAGTATGGTTTTAAGCAAGCTTTGGCAGATCACACTATCTTCTATAAGAGGAATGGTGATGATATTACTTTGCTTATTGTTTATGTGGACGACATGATTGTTACAGGTAGCAACACCAATGAGATAGAGAAGCTTCGAAGCTATTTGGCCAAGGAATTTGAAATGAAGGACTTGGGGGTTCTGAAATAATTTCTGGACATTGAAGTGTCTCGGTCCAAACAGGGACTTTTTCTCTCTCAATGAAAGTATACATTAGATTTCTTGGCTGAAACTGGTAACTCTGCGTTTGTTCCTATAGACACTCTTATTGAAGTAAATCATGGCTTAGCTATCTATCCTGATCAAATTCTGACAAACAAGGAGAGATATCAGAGACTAGTGGGGAAGTTGATCTATCTGACTCACACTAGGCCTGACTTGTCATATGCTGTTAGTGTTGTGAGTCAATTCATGCACAATCCGAGTGACCGACACATGAATGCAGTGAATCGTATTTTGGCTTATCTAAAGTCCTCTCCAGGTAAAGGTATTATGTTTTCCAGGCATGGACACCTAGACATTGTGGGTTATACAGATTCTGATTTTGCAGGAGCCAAGTTGGATAGGAAGTCTACTTCAGGGTATGTGTTATTCGTTGGAGGCAATTTGGTGACTTGGAGGATTAAGAAACATAATGTGGTATCATTGTCTAGTGCAGAAGCTGAATACCATGCTCTTCATCATGCAATTACGGAGCTTACATGGTTGAAGATTCTCTTAAGTGAGCTTAGGTATGGTCCATAGAAACCTATATTGATTTTTTGTGATAATACGGCAACTATTGATATTGCTAATAATCCATTGCAACA